TTTCGAATGTCGCGCGTAAGTTTTGAAGTAAGTATAAATATTTTAATTTAGTGATAGTTTTAAAATGGAAAAAATAAAATAAAATACATAAGCTACATTATTGGATATTACATTATAAAATAAAAAATATATTTATTAAATTATGGATATTAATAAATAAAATTGGATCCACTGGGTTGCGCCATTTTGAATCACAACATGTTGAGCAAAGGTAGCGTACTATATTTGCGCTACAAAACATGGCGACCGATCACTAAACATGTTAAGTAATTGGAAACTGAGCGGTAGCGTTCAGAGGCAAATCTAGTGAAATCACTCAACGGTTGCGCAACGGTTGTGTCTGAACGCACCCAATGTTTATCAACATGATCGATTCTGCGTATGGAATCGTAATCGCCTATTCTGTCCCTGACTCAGTATAGAAGTTGTCAATGTTGATCAGTCTTGAGAAGTTATCATCAATCAACTTGATATTACGCAAAGATCCTTAAAAAATGAATGGTTTTATTTAAAATGAATATTTTATTCCACATGTAAGTACGCAACTAACGCATAGTGTTTGTAATAATGATACTATGATTGATAAATAGCGACTATTAATTACCTACAGGAATTTAATCCATTAAATATGACTAAATGTCATATGCTATGTTAGGCTGTTCATAAAGATAGTTCCTTTCAGTATACGAGTACTGTTACAAAAATTACATATGATTAAAGTCTGTCGGTTTAAAATGTTCATAACCATCGGAAAACTTTTGATTATTATTCTTATTAGTCCAAGTTCTACATATAATAAACGATCACCAGCTGCCCCTGAGTTTGGCCGCCCTGGTGCGGGGGCAGCTTCTGCACCCCTGCCAGGCGAGACCCTGGATGACGGTACCTGGATCCAGGTATCATTACTCATCTGTTTTTAGATGTGTTTTGAAACGGTTTTGAAAATATGCAGATCTTCTTACAAAGTGCTAATATAAATAACTGTACACTTTTGTTAGTTTCTGTAAGCTGGATGAGGCGTGGAGTTTCGAAAATCCTGGGTCAAAATGAATCCAGATATATCTTAAAAATGAATTATCGTATCATAGTTCGTTCTTCATTATTTTAATCTAGAAAGATTGTCCTACTATAATAATTTGTCGGTTATATGAAAAATTGATTTTTTAATACTGAAAATTATAATCAAATTCTTATTTTGCAATTTTCTCTGTGAGGGCCAAGGGGTACCAATATGACCAGCAGAATATTTGCCTCGTAATACTATACTCAAACTTATAGCTCTCCCAAAGAAAAATTTGTAATATTGAAGTGTTCTCCACTGTATTGGTTGCTTCATTTTAAATAAAACCAAACAATATAATACGACATGTTTTCAAAAGTGTGACTTATATCTGCAATATTATTTTCAATTTCTAAACATAGAAGAACTATTTGCATAGCCTGTTTTAAATGGTAAGTCTAGGTATGCGTATATGTGCGCTCGCGTGCGTATGGTGCGCTTATACGTCGCGTGTATGTATAAGTAAGAGTCAGAGATAAAATATTAGCAAACTTACTACGAAAACTAAAGACTAAGAAAGAAATTAATCCGAAGTGATTAAACATACCATAAATTGCGTTTTATAAAATACGTTTAAAATGCATACCGAAGTAATCTGGTTATGTAGTCAGGCCAATT